ATGAAACAGAAGTTGATAAAATTTAACATCCATTTGCAAAAAAACCAAACAAAACCAGAATGGCAATAGAAGGAAACTAAATACATGAAGGGCTGTTTAGAATAATGTTTGCGGTTAGTTTTTGGTATGCAGTAAAATATTGAAGTCATTTTAATGGAAAACAGGAACAAGATAGGTGTTTCTACTGTAATCATTATTATCCAGCTTTCATTTTGAAGTCCTAGGGAATGCGGTTAAATATGATAACAAAATAATTGGTATGGAAAAAGAAGCAATAAAATAATAACTACCCTTCCTCCTCCCCGATGATACTGAAATCCAAGAGGTTAGTGTAAAAAACAAGATTGGGTAGGGGTTGGGTTTTGAGGGGTCACTCTACTAGAAATAATAGAATGAAAAAGAAGAGCAACAGAAACTTTCCTTAACGGAAAATAAAGCATACTACGAATCAGTATTGTAATGCTATAGAAATGGACAAATAGGTCAGTGGGCCAGACTAGGAAGTTCAGAAATAGTTCATAATATAGATCTCTGTGTGTGTCTATATAGATATGTGGTATTTCATATCAATGAGAAAATCATAGCTTATTTAATTAGTGGTACTAAAACAGTTGGGTACTCAGAATAAAATAACAGCCTATTAAAAATGAAGCATAGAGAGAACATTTAAAAATAATAAATTAATTTTTAAAGGAAAAAAAAAGACAAAATTATATATATATATATATATATATATATATATATATATATGAAAAAACTACCTTAACAGGAAAACCAGAAGATTTAAAAAGAAAAGATAATTTTACCTGACTGTATAAATATTTAAAAATAAGTACCAAAACCACCTCGATGTTTTCATATGCACTTCCTTTTTTTCAGATAATTCATTTTTAATTTACAGAAGTACTGGTTCTTTACTACAGCTTGAAAAGCACTGAATTAGATTATTTGCCCATCTCCTGTATTCTGGGAAACTGGAAGATAGATATAAAAGTTAGATCAAGTTGGAACATTTTTGGCTGGGATATGTCATAGATGGTGTGTAATTCATATTGCATTATATTAGGAGACACATAGGATTTGTTTGCCCCATAATTAATGATGCTGTACTGACTACTGGATTAGCATGATGATGGCTTGATCCTTCCATTGAAAAGCCCAAATCATAGTCATCACATTGAAGGCCCGTAGAAACCACCTGAAGTTGGCTGCTGTGTCCTTTTAATAGGACCTCATTAATCTTCAAAAAACTTTCTTCTGTTCTGGCCTGAGATCTCCCTGGATCACCTTGTACTTCTGCCCCTGACTAAGAGAAACTATTTCCTCCTTTCCAAAAAGTCCTGCATGTTCTTTTCTACCAGTTGGCAATGTTTTTAGCCTTTGAAGTCTGAGCAGCTAGAAAAGAAATGTATTTTTAAAAATCATTCGTTCATGATAATATTTTCAATTCTGTTCAACATTACAATGTTTTAGTTTGTTCTTTGATTTTTCTCATTAAGTCTTTTATATTTTACTGAAATTCTTGATAACATTGTTCATCTACAAGTATGCTTTCCTGTAGTATGAGGAAAATTTCAAAGAAAACCAATATTAACACTACCAAGAAAATGACTGAATAAATTTAAAATGTCTTTTTAGTTCTTTTTGTCTTTGGATCTTCTGAACTATGTTCTAACATCACTCAAAATAAATCATTTTTAGGTGTACAGCTAATTTTTTTCAACTGGTTTTCAGTTTTAGGGATTATTTTCTAAAAAATAAACATTTTGAAATTTTTCACATGTACATTGTTTTGATATCTACTGTATTACATATTTTCATATACTTTACTCATACTTACCAATACTAACCCCATTAACCGCTATATTTATTTTTTATTCTCAGATATAAAGAATAATAGATTATTTGCAATTAATATACTCAGTATTATTTACCCCCTAAAAAGCAGAAAAGTACATCAAAGACATATGTTGTCATTATATCTGTTTTTTAGTTTTTATTGAGCTTATCTTGATTTAATTAATTCCGTTTATTAGGGCATGTGACATGAGCCAGTATTTATTCTGAGGGATTAAATAGATAGTAATAATGCAGTGCTTTATATGTAGAAGAAAAAGTTTTCTCCCTCTAATGTTTGATAAGCATTATGTGTGCATATATTTGTATATATACTGTATAATGTCTTATGTGTTCTGAACTAGTAGATCAATTGACTGACTCCATAATGAATGTGTTAATGATAAAATATTTCTTCCTGCCTGAGATATCATAAATTTGATAACATTACTTCAGGAAAGGTTTACTGTAATATTGTGAAATTGTAAAAGCATGCTAACTATTGGGAATATAGCCTTGAGCCAACCAGAATCCTTGCACTCATGGAGCTTATATTGTGACTAGGGGCCCGGTGCATGAATTTGTGCACTGGTAGGGTCCCTGGGCCTAGCCAGCAATTGGGGTTGATCAGGGATCCATCTCGCCCACTCCTGATCGGCCTAATTGGGGCCAGGAGGTTAGCTGGCTGGCCCCAATCAAGGCCAATTGGGGACTGCCAGCCGGGGAGAGAGACTGTGGGAGCTCACTGACCACCAGGGGGAAGCTCCTGCATTGAGCATCTGCCCAATGGTGATCAGTGTGCATCATAGCTACCAGCCTGTTGTCCAGTCATCCAGTCATCTGGTCGTAAGGTCACTTAGGCTTTTATATATGTAGATAGTGAAAATAGTGAACAAACAAATCTGACTTTCTCAACTTCCTACCATCCTACCAAACATCAGCAATCCCAAAACTTGTGCAGTAATTCTGAGGTTGCTAATTCTGCACTTTACTGTAACTATTTGAAGATTTCTATCAGGCTTTCCAGGTCTATATATAATGGTACTCAACTGAACTGGTAGAATATAGTTTTTAAAGAATTTTTAAGAAGAAGAAAAGTGATATAAATATGCCTGTTTTGAAACATCTTTTTAAAAAATCTGTATTTACAAGAGATGTATTAGCAATTTATTTTTGGTTTAACAAGTATTATTTACCCAACAGAATAATTTAACCAGAATTACTTTTAAAGAAAAAGTTTCCTTAGTATATTTCTTTTAAATATATATATATATATATATATATATATATATATATATATATATATTATTGATTTTTTACTGAGAGGAAGGGAGATAGTTAGAAACATCGATGAGAGAGAAACATCGATCAGCTGCCTCCTGCACACCCCCCACTGGGGATGTGCCCACAACCAAGATACATGCCCTTGACGGGAATTGAACCTGGGACCCTTCAGTCCACAGGCCAACACTCTATCCACTGAGCAAACCAGCCAGGGCTTCCCTAGTATATTTCAAAAGATTCAGTTTACAAACATGCTATTTACATACAAGCTGCCTCAAATTTGTATTAGAATGTATCAGTATGGAGCACTCTAATATAAGTTGTAAAGAATAACAATAAAGAAAATAATCTTCATTTACATTTTATCTAACTTTATCTAAAATCACTTAAGATGCTATATCAGGATATAAATATATAAATATGATTAAATAAAAAGCAAACTATTATCGTATGGTTGCAAATATAAATGTGGAAGGGTGGAATTTTTTTTCTTTACAACTACCACTACACCCAGTCTTTTTTCCATCAGGGCCGTTAGAAAGAAGAGACAAAAAGGACTTTGTTAGCATAACACACATGGTTAGGTTATGCTTGAAGTGTAGAAAATAGTAGCATGAAAAATATTTTTCTTGTAGATTTGTTAACGTTATAGGATGCCCAGGAGAGCAAGAACTGATGAAAAGAGAAGAAAACTGGGTGAAACCAACTGGGAGGTGGGACCCTTGGGTGAATAGATAGATAAAAAGAATTAGGGGGTAGATGCGAGTGAGACCAGGGAAGAAGATAAGAGAAGGTCCTGCCAGGCTTTTCCCCTGAGGAAGATTCAGATAGCCAAAGATCCTGATAAGGCAAATAAAGAGCTTTGTTCTCTTACAGACCCCTGTTTGATATTCACCTTTGTATAATTAGATATTCTTTCTGGCAATGATTGCACTTTCCAAATGTTAAGAGTGTGATTATCTTAAACTGTAAGGAAGGCAGGTTAAGGTTAGGACCAGTGTTTGTGCTGTGTGGTAGCTTTCTTAGGACTAAGGTCTGTGTGAAAGCCGAGTCTGTCAGGCCCCACTGGGTAGAAGAGTCTCCTGATTTCTCTTCCAAACACTTCCCACCAATAGACTTCCAGCAGCCACTTTATGCTTACTGAAGAAAATCACTCCACTACAATTAAATGAAAAGATTTCAAGTTACAATGGGATCTGTGTTAACCAAATCAACTCATCCACACTGAATTGTAACTAGGTAGTCTATTAAGTCTGAACAACATGCAGTTCCTCCTAGGTTTGATAAGAGGAGAATAATGGTCATCTAAATGAGAGAGAATTAGGAGGGGGAAGGATGAAGATATTGTAAGAAGACAGACAAAACAAAGGCCGCACCATTTTGCCCAGGTTGGATCTAGTGACCTTCACGTGGGTACGGAAAACAATCTGCCCAGAAGTCCTTCTGAATTAACTGCTGGTATTTCTTTTCCACTTGGCATCGTGTGTGAAGCATTTCTTTTAAAACATATGCCAACTCATTCCAAAGGGAGCTTTGTTCTCAGATGATCCATTAATTGAGGTATCACTGCAGAAATTGGAACAAAATTCAATTTATATTATGGAACTCCTTAGTGCGGTTCAGTTTTCAATCCCCTTTCTCTTCCTTTGTGCCTCCAAATGCAGTTCTCACCGCCAGAGTAATCTCAGAAGATTCTGTAGCAAGTTCTCAGAGGCCCATTGTGCAGTAACAAAGAGTTCTGGCAGTAAGCTGAAGGTTCCGCCCTTCCCTGCTTTCCCAAGTGGAAGGCTGCCTGCATCCCTCACTAATGGGAGAGAAGGACAAGCATTGCCCAGGCTTGCATGCTTGCCAAGCAAAAGGAACCCAAGCAAGAACTCATCATGTCAATCAGATATATTGGGTGGATATGTGGGCAGGTGTTGAAGAACTTTTCTGGAAGAAGTAAACGCCAGCTTGTTGTGAAGGGGATGTGGGTGTGGGAAACAGAATAAAGCCCCCAAGAGTTTGCTTGTTGTCCCAGCCACCTAAGCAGTGGACCCAGTGTCCCCTGTTATTTTGAATTATGGTTAGGGGATTTTTTTTTTTTAAGATTCCCGCTCCCCTTTAACTTCTTTTTGTCTCAGGTGAGGGGATCCAGAGAATAACCATGGACCTGGTAGATGAGCTTAAAGATGACATTTCTAACATCCCAAGAGTATCACAGTCTAATCAGGTAATGTGATTTCATAACTGAAAATAATTATAAGAAGTATATTGTATTTTCAATATCATATCAGTTATTTAATGCTTATTTTTGAGGAGAGTGTTTGAAAATTAGAAAAACATTAATTTCACTTCAAGCTTCTCCCCCACCTCCCACCCCCACCCCACAAATTTCAACTCTTACTCATTGGGAGAGAATGGGATAAAGAAGTGAAGTAGCTAAATAAACTACATTTTAAGATAGTCACTATGTTGTTAGATTGAAAAACTAGAACTCTCTCAGCCACGATTGCAATGTTGTTTATTTAGATTTGATTACTATCAAATCAGAAAAATTCCTAAATGTGCTTTAATTAAAATACCTGGCACTTAAATCAGTGAAAAAGCATAACTGACATAAGTTATTCTAATGGAAAGATAAGTATATATGTTTTAAACATCTGTTCCAAAAAGGATTTGAAACATAAAAGTTTGGAATTAGAAGAGGGATAAGGGAGAGAATTTTAAAGATACATATGGTCAGGAAATAGTAACATGTTTAGTATCTCTTTGATTCCCCTCTTTACATGCCCCTGGTCTTGGTATAAGTCTTTTGAAGCATCGGAGAGTTTTCTTGGCTATGTGTTGGAGTATTAAGGGATGGGCAGGTGCTTGGTCTGGGATGTACAATGGTTCAGGCCAGCACAGCAGTGGCAGTAATTATTGAGAGAGCCAGACACAGATCTGGAAAGTCCCACTGCCCCTTCTGACTGTGATTCTTCCACAATTTCCAATATTAGAGAACAGGTATTTTATTTAATCAAAGGAGTTGCAGGTTTCTTTACAACTCCCTTCACCTCTTCCTACCCTCTGCATAGCCTCATTATCACTAGAGTGGCACCAGGCTTTCTGGTGAAACATTGGTGTCCTAATCCTCAAAGAAAGAACTCTTCCTGGTTCGAATTCACTGAAGTCATTTACTTATAAAAACTTTACCCCACTCAGAGAACATAGACATAGTTAAAAGTTCTTCATTTCTTATTTTCAAAACACTTAACATTGTTCTTTTCCACAATTTACCGTTAAGAATGTGTTACTGAGATTGGCAGGGAACCTAAATAGTTAGGGGATATGGTAACATGTTGAAGTTATTTGATCTCCAAAAATAAATTATCCAGAAAACAATGCTAATACTCCACTGTTAACTAGATTTTTTTTTAAAAGGTCACATTGTAAATGCTGCAAATTTTATTATTTTCATAATGCATTTTAGTTCCCAAACATACTAAAATAAATGAGAGCTTTATTAATTGAATTGTATTTTAAATCTCTAAACATTGTGATTAATATTTAAATAATTTAAAAATTATTATTTTAGGCATTTATTTATTTAGAAAAAGGCCATCTTGCTGTTCTGGGGCAAAAAAAAAATTATGATGGGAATGATGGTGGAGTTTTTATAGAGGAATCTACCTGATTGTAACTAGGATGTTCTATAATTCAGTTATATTTTTATTTTTGATGGGTTGTTTCTTGTAGGACACTATCATTATTGTGAAAGTTACAAACTACATTAAGCACTGAAAACTTTCTGGGTGATTTCTAATTTAATATTTGGTATATTTCTATGATATTTCTCATTGTGATTTTTTTCTGATAGTCTTCATTCATTCATTCATTCATTCATTTTAACTTGCATTTATAGAGCACCTACTGTGTGCCAGACAGTTCCAGGCACTAAGGAATGATGAGTAAGTGAAGTGGATATAAAACACTGGCATAGAACTTAAATCCTAGTCAAGCAAAAACACAATAAAGAAGAAAAAAAACCCATGTTAATGGTAGGTCTTAAGGAGAAGAAAAAGAATACAGCATAGAAGAAACATGAAGTAAGGATAAGGATAACAATTGATGGTTAGGACCCTAGAGGGTCTTAGTGAGAAGGTGATTCTTGAATTAAGACTAACGCAAGTGGGGAATAGAACATTGGTATCCTTGAGGGATCAATTGGCATAGCTAATACAAAGTTCCTGGGCTGGGAGTATACCTAACTAGTTCAACAAGTTACGAGGAGGAAAAAGGAGAGAAACAGATGAGGTGGCCAGAGAGATAAAGAAAACATGACTTTTATAGGGCCTTGTCTCCCATGGTATGTACTTGGCTTTAACACTGAGTGCATCAGGGAGCCACGGAAGCAGTTGAGTAGAAGAAAAACAAATATGATCTGACATCCATTTTCATTGTAGCTCTCTGGCTGATGTGTTAGGGACAAGAATGAAAACAGGCAAGATTTGAAGCAGGGAGACCACTGAGGAGGCTAGTTTACTAGTCCAGAAGAGATGATGGTGGTAAATACAATGGACTTGGTATTGGGACAGTGAGAAGTGGGCTATTCAGAGGAAGAATTGAGTAAGATTTGCTGACAGGCTGGCTTTATAGTTGTAGGGTAGTAAAAAGCTGGCATAATAGAAATTGGAGTTCAGCATTAAAACTGCTGATGATAGAGAAATGGGCCTGGCTCTAGGGAAAAAAAAAAAAAAAAAAGGGAAAGCAGGATATGTATTGAAAGGATGGAGCTCAAATAGAGAAATCTGGGGTGAGATTCTTGAACCAATCTGATGGAGTTTCTTTTGGTAAATGGTCTTTAAGTACCTCTGTGTGTCTCTGAAGTGAGGGTAGTGATTGGAATATCTTTTCTGGCATTTGTTGATATGCTCTGATGAAGATAATGCTGACAAAAATAATCATCTAAGCCCTGACCGGTTTGACTCACTGGATAGAGTGTCGGCCTGAGGACTGAAGGATCCCAAGTTCAGTTCTGGTCAAGGGCATGTACCAGTAGGGAGAGTGCAGGAGGCAGCTGACTGATGTTTCTCTCTCATCGATGTTTCTGACTCTATATCCCTCTCTCTGTAATAAATAAATAAATAAATAAATAAACAAACAAACAAACAAACAAAATACATTTTAAAAAAATAATCATCTAAACTTGCATACTTAGCAACCAATGCCAAGAGTAAAAAATAAAAATAAAAAAAAAATTGAGGGAAAAGAAATGAGGACTTCTTAACTTGGAGTTAACATTTAAATTTACATATATAGCTAGGTAAGAAAATAGATAACAGACAAAAAGAAAAAGCTGGTAGCTCAAAAAAGACGGGAAATGTTTTATTTACATTTTTTCTATTAGAGCTAGTTTTAAAAGTAACTAATTGGACTCATTGATTGATTATTGTTGTTGTTGTTTTTAAAGAAGAATGTCTCATTATCCATCTAAATGAATGTAAGTAGCTTCTTCTGCTGTCACTTTCGTATTCCAGAGACATGAGGAACCACCACACATGCATCCAGTGGCTGGGTTTGGTTTCTAACACTGTTCTTAAGAGCAGTAACAAGTTGATTTCGTGTTTCCTGCAGGGAGAGTGGAGGTGGTCAGAAACAGTTGGTTGTCAGAAGTAATTCTTTACAAGGTATCTAAGAAAGTATCAAAAAAGAGAAAGCATTTTGAAAACTCTGAAAGGCTCTAGCCAGTTTTACTCAGTGGATAGAGCATTGGCCTGTGGACCAAAGGGTCCCGGGTTCGATTCCAGTCCAGGGCATGTACCTCCATTTCAGGCTCCTTTCAGGTTGGGGCTCATTCAGAAGGCAACCAATTGATGTGTTTCTCTCACATCAATATTTCTCTCTGTCTTTCGCTCTCTCTTCCACTCTCTCTAAAAATCAATGGAAAAATATCCTTGGATGAGGATTAAAAAAAACAAAACACAAAAAACTCTGAAAGGAAGCATAGTTATTAAATTGAAACCATTTGAACATTAAAGGAAACAAAGATGAGGAACAGGTTAGTTTGTTGGAAAAAGCCGCAAATTCACAATGAGACTAAAAAGAGAAAGATAATGAAAAGTGCATGAAAGCATTATTGTAATACATACTATTTTGCTCAACACAAATTATGTAAACCCTGCAGGAGAGTTTTGATTAACAGATAATCAGTTACAAATAAGCTTAATTTTCTACAGAGAGAAAAATTTGAAAAGACAATTTGGAGAAAAGGGGCAAGTTGAATGATTCATTTAGTATAGTTTGGGGGAAATAATCAAGATTGGTTCATAGAAGTGCACATGTAAAGTCAGCGCATAGGCCAATGTGTACAGATCACCAACCTTTTATAAAGAAACATAAAATAAAAAGAGGAAAGGTGTAGAATGCTAATGTTTTGCAACTGCAAAAATGAAGGGTTCTAAAGCACTGAATGATCCCGTAGAGGAGGTTCCAGTAAAGGCAGAACAACTGTGCATGTCCCGTTCCTGTTTGCCCTGGCACTGTGGCCCTCACCTCGAGGTTTAGAAATTGTAATGAGAGAAAGCACAGTCTATTGTAATCTGAATGTACTTACTCCAGATGCTTCACCTTGAGGAGGAATTGCGAGGAAGAATTGGTGCAGTGTGGGGGATGGAAAGTCCTTCCTCTGTCTCTCTTGAGTTTTTACAGCTGGACTAGTAATTAAATTGGCACAAGTTGAGATAACAAGAGAAAAACCAATTTGAGGCATGCAAACAGACCATCAATGATGCTCAGAGAAATGATCGATGCAGCTTTTCATATCTTGCAGACAAAAAAATAAATTGTGAAGAATTATCATGATGAAGGAACTTAGATTTGGGTACTCATTAGTGAGGAATCTAAATTTGGGTTTGGGTAAATTAGTAAAACAAACAAAACATGATAATTTTTTTTTTAAATACACACTTCTTAGCTCTGAATTCCCTAACTCTGGTAATAAGGATGTCTCTCATTAGACTCCAGGTGCAGGAATAGAACTTTTCACATTGGAGATTTATCTCCTGCTTTGAGAGAGAGAGAGAGAGAGAGAGAGAGAGAGAGAGAGAGAGAGAGAGAGGGAGAGAGAGAGAGAGAAAGAGAGAGAGAGAGAACGGAGTTGTTCTTGAACGAGCAGTTTCTTAAGTAATTTTAATTCAAAATAATTGATATGCCATTGTGGGATATTTTGCATTGTGGGATATTTTGGGGTGCCTGCCCTATGCCCTGACAGCAGCTAAGCATACGGTCACAGAGGACTTGAATCTGTATGTGTGGGAGCTTTGGCTACTGCCAACAATGTGGTTCCTCTCCGGCATATGGGTATGCTCGCAACTGAGTAGATTGTACCTCGAGCTATTTTGCTTGCTCTCTCTACCACATACTAGCTTGTGAGGATTGCTCTATTCTAAAGTGGCTTGGAATTACAGCAGTCCATAATTTAGACTGCACTTTCTCCTGTTATATTGACTAGCAGGGGGGATAAGATCACAGGTGAGCTAACGGGACTTTTCCATAAAGTTAACAGATTAAGCCAGCACATGCTGCAGAAATACATCCTCGTTGACAGGCTAGAATGGCTTTTTATTTTTATTTCCCATGGCGAATGCTGACCAGAAAGAGAAGACTGACCTTTGAGGACAAAGGCAACAATAATAAAATTATTACTTCAGGATAAAAATAGAGGCATTTAAAATATATAGTATGTTCAGCCCTTAGACAAATATATACTAGTGATGTTAATTGTAGATCAAGAAATTCACTTAAAAGATGTTTTATAATTACATATATTTTGACTCAACAAATAGAGATTCAAAGTTGCTTATACTAAAAAGCCAGAAAAGCCTGTAACATTACTTTAAAGAAGAATGGAAACTATACTTGTGTGTTGCCTGGAATGCAGTCTGACCACATTGTAAGTAATTTCCCTGTGATTCATTTTCTGGTAGAGCAGAGAAGTACTTCATTTTATGTGTTGTGGTAATGCCACACATTTTTCTACCAGAACGCTCATAGAATTTTTTAGAAATAAAAGTGTCCTAAGCTTGTTGATCAGTATATAGAGTATTTGTTTTATGAGTTATTTATGTATGCTCTGTTTTATCATTTAAAATGTTTAAAGCAAGCTGGGAAATACAAGTTTTGAATAATAATAATTATCATTTGATTAATTCAAACATTGAATAATGTTTGAATAAGAATTGTTTATTTTTTATAGAGCTCTTAAATATCAGTGCAAATAAATAAATAAATAAACCTAGAGAGAAAAGTGGAAACATGTATATCTTGACACTAATAACTGAAATTCTGGGTAGTGATCCTAAGGAACAATGCATATATTCAGGTAAAGATTTAAGTACATGGTGGGGTCTATGAGTCGTAGAGGGTAGGATATCATCAGTAAACATGGAGTGTATGCCCAGGACCATGCACAGTGTACAATTATGCGGTCCTTGGTCTCTGCCTAAAGTAGATCTTAATTCTCTGGATAATCACACATCAGTCACTTTTCAAAGGCTTATTTTCCAGAAAAGAGAAACCATGAAAAAACCATCTAAAGACAAAATGGCCATTACTTTAGCCAAGATCAACCGAGGAGCATTAATTCAAGGATTGAACAGCATATCCAGATCCTCCCATTCAATGGCCAAACTCCTGCAGCCTCAGCTTACTTGTAGACTTTTAGAGCTAAGGGGCATATCTCACCGCCTGCTGAGGGCAGTGAATGCACCAAAGCAGCCCCTATATAACATGCAGGTGAGTGAACGTTGCCTTTGCACGAGATGTGGATCCTTTTTATAGAAAATGTTTTGTAATTGCAAGATTTAAAAAATGTAGGACACATTTGGTTGTCCTACATGTAAAACAATAACAGTTGCATAAGAGAAATGAATAGTTGGGTCTTTTCCCAAGATATTATGTTCTCTGGTTTAAATCTGAAAGAAGAAGTAAAGTGGACTGGTTTTTTTTTTAATCTTCTTATTTAATTGAATTATATGAAACTGTAAATTTCAGATGGATCATTCAAAATATAAGTCTACAAATGACTACTTATGTTAAACCTAAAATCCTACAACAAACCTTAAAAGTATGAGTGTCCTTGACTCAGCATTCCTGGCCAACCCTGAGATTCACTCTTAGAGAGTAACTTATGTCTAAATCAGGGGAATGGTGATCACAAATTGGCCTAGAACTCCATTACCTGCAGCATTCCTAGAGTGGGGGGTTGGAACTCCATCCGGACCATCTGACCTGAGGAAGGGGAAAGGATGACTCCTCATACAAAAATCTGGATTGGAGAAAGGGGAAAGGATGAATCCTCATACAAAAATCTGTGTTGTTTTGCGCCGAGAAAATGGATAATGGACAGGATGGCTAAAATGAACAAAATATTCATTATACAGGGATTTCTCTAACCAAAGATTTTGACATTTCCCAGAAATCATCAGATATTTCAACTAAGAACTGCCTGAGACAGCATTATAAAGAGCTCTCTTATAATATCTGATGTTCGAGAAAGTAAGAAATGATTTGTGTTTGTGGTCTTTAGATCATCAAAAAGAAATATAGCTGACCTGTATTATTTTAAATTCCCATAGAAATGTCTGTCTGACTCTAATGTTTTGCCTTGACATTTCTTTCCTTGCATTATTAGACCCAATATTTTTACAGAGGATTGATGTAAAAGTGTCCTTTGAAGACTATTTCTGTCTTCATTATGAAATCATGTTTAAAGGGACTGTCCATTACATTATTTACATAGTCTTTCCCTTTGCTCCTCTTTGCTGTGAAGGATGAGATTTTTTTAAAAATATATTTTATTGATTTTGTACAGAGAGGAAGGGAGAGAGATAGTTAGAAACATCAATGAGAGAGTCATCGATCAGCTGCCTCTTGCACACCCCCTACTGGGGATATGCCAGCAACCAAGGTACATGCCCTTGACCGGAATTGAACCTGGGACCCTTCAGTCCCCAAGCCAACGCCCTATCCATTGAGCCAAACCGGCCTTGGCAAGGATGAGACTTTTACGTCATTTACAAGCTAACAAGTTAGCCTGCCACAGTTACACACACACACACACACACACACACACTGAGACACAGAGCCTTGTGGCAGATTCACAGACAGTCTATTATTCACAGTTAGTGCAGCAACCAACACAGTATCTTGTGTCAGTTTTCTACACTCGGTTCCCACAGGGCAATAAGCTAAGAGCCAGATGTTACCTCTGTGTGTACACAGTAAGTTGCATCATAGGAGAGGACACCTGCAATTAGGAGATTTAGCCTTTTATATGGTTGCTGGTAGTCTGCCCAGTTTGGTGGAGTTGGGGAAGGAGGGAGAGAGAGAAAGGGAGAAGAGTGTATGTGTCTGGAGGGAAGGAGCAAAGGCCTTTACTTTTAGTGCCTGTGACATGTCTCGGGAAGTACATCACTAGATCTCTCCAGAGGAATATACTTCTTTCAAATTGTTTGCTATTCAACCATATCCTTTTCTCAGAAGATCCAATCTGTACAGAACTGAGAGAAGTCCTTGGAGAACTGTATTCCTATACTTATGAAAATTCAGTGGCAGAAAAATAACCACTATTTTCTGTTGAATTTGTGTTTCCTTTTATAGTAAAACAAAAACCACAATGTGTTTGTCATTTTGCCTTGATTGACAGTGAGCTTCACAGGTAAATTTACAGCTTAGTGGTGATAGCTTATTCCAGGAACCTGAGTTGAGAGAAAAAGGTTGAAGGATTAGATGACTTATCTAAGGTCCATATGCTGGCTCTGACTCTCTTTTGACATCTGTTCAAGATCAACACCTATGCCATCTCTTCTCCTTTGTTCTTGTTCCAATTGTTTTAGGACATAGCTTTATTTTTAAAATCATTATCAATAAAAATTTTCAAAGTATGTGAAAGGTAGTTTATCAGAAGTTCCATCAATATTTACCTGGTAGTAATATTCTGCCATATTGCCTTCAGAAATCTCCTTTATAAAAGGAAGTATAATTAGCCACCCTCCAATCCTGCCCCTTTTTCTTTCTACCAAATTTAATCATTATTCTGATGTTGATGTGAACATTTCCATGCATATGTTTATATTTTCACTACATTTGTATACATGTATTTTACTATGTATACTTAAAATTTACTAGTATATAAAAAGTATGCTGTATTTAATCATTTTGAAACTTCCTTTTTTACTCAAAGATTTATACATGTAGCTATGATTTATTATTTTACTTCTTTGGGTTAGTCTATTATAAGAAAAACAACTCATAGTTTATCTGTTACTAGACAGATGGACAATTTAGTTTCCAAATTTTTTGTATTACAAGCCGTGCTTCAGTGAACATTCCTGTAAATAACTCCTCATGCATATGTATGAGACATTATCTGGGTGTATATCTAGAAGAGGGATTGCTGGGTCATGAGGGATACATGACTTCAATTTTATTACCTACTAGAGACCTGGTGCAGGAATTTGTGCATGGGTAAGGTCCGGCCACCCAACCCTATGGGGGCCGATTGGGGCCGGGTCAGTTGGGGAGGGGGCACTGTGGGAGGTTGGGGAACCGATCAGGGCCCTGATTGAGCTGGTTGGCTGCCACAGTGTGTGTCATAGCAACCAGTCGTTCCAGTCGTTCCAGTCATTCCAGTTGTTCAGGTCATTCCACCATTATGGTCACTTGGCTTTTATATCTATAGATTGTCAAATGCTTTTTAGATTCAGTACCTTGGGGATCATTGTGATTCTTGAATCTGAGGATAATTTCTTCAATTCTGAAAAATTCTTAGTCATTATTTCTTCAAATATTACTTCTTTCTCATTTTCTCTAATCTCTTCTTCTGGGATGCCTATTAAAATATGCTTAGAACCTTCTCGCTTTATTCTTTGTATATATAATGTCCTCATATTTTCCTTTATCTTTTAAAAATGCATTTTGAATAATTTCCTCTTAGCTATCCACCAGTTAATCAATTCTCTTCAGCTGTATCTACTATGCTATTTTACTTATTTAATATATTTTAAATTTCAAACATTATACTTACCATTTCTAGAAATTCTATTTGGTGTTTTCCTCAAACTTCCATTTTTTTTTTCTTTTCAAAGTATCTTTTATGAGTTTCTTTTTTTAAATTTAATTATTTTAAACACACTTCTTTGTGGTTCTTTAAAAGATTTTCCTATGAGATATTTGGGGGATGCTAGTCTTCCTGACTACTGTGATATATATTATGTCTCATTCATGGTAGATAATTTCTTTTGGTGTTTTGTTTTATTTAACTGAAAGGTTTTTTTTCAATGGGGATTTTTTAAAATTAGAAATTCCTTGTCTCTTAGAACTGTTCCTGTAAGGATTCAGGTAGTGCTCCAGGGGTAGCAGCCCCTGGTGGAGCCTAGCTTCTTTACTTTCTTCCTGGACTGGAGGGTGCAGGTGTCCCAGTCCCACCCTCACTGAGACTCCCCAAAGGCCTAGTCCTCACCTCATGTGTATCTAAGTCTCATCTCTAGTCTCTTTATTGAAACTAAAGCCCCAGCCATTATTTTAGGGTCCAGTAACATCCCCAGAGTTCCTGGGATATAAACTCAGATACTTACTCTTCCAGATTTTAGCTTCCTCTTTGTTCCTGGCGAGGGGATTTCCTTCTTTTCTCTCCTCCCTTTCTCCCTCCCTCTGTCCTTTCCTTCCTCCCTTCCTCCCTTCCTTCCTTCTCTCCCTTCCTCCCTCCCTCCCTCCCTCCCTTCCTTCCTTTCCTTTTTCCTTTCTTCTTTTCTTCTCAGTTTTATATTACATTTTTGGTGTATGAATTTACATAGAATTTGTAGGTGGGTTTTTTGTGTGTGGTTCTCCATTAACTCTGCCATGTTGCTGGAACCAAATATCCTTCAGATTTGCTTTTTTTATTTGTTTGTTAACTCTCACCCACGGATATTTTTCTTTTTTTCTGTTGATTATTTTAGAGAGTGAAAGAAAGAGAGGGAGGGAGGGGTAGAGAGGGAAGGAAGTGAAGTGGGGAGAGGGAAGAGAGAGAGAGAGAGAGAGAGAGAGAGAGAGAGAGAGAGAGAGAGAGAGAGAGAGAGAAACATTAGTGTGAGAGGGACACATCAATTGGTTGCCTCCCACATGAGCAGCTGGGCAGATTGAAATTGCAGTTCAGGCCCCAAGCCCTTGACCAGGAATCAAACCCAGGACTTTATGTCTGAGGACTGATGCTATAACCACTTAGAAACACCAGCCAGGGTACGTTTTATTATTTTTTTTTTAATTATTGATTGATTTGAGAGAGAGAGAAGAAAGGGAAGAGAATTGAGTTGGGGTGAATATTGAGATACGTTGTTTCACTTATTTATTCATTGGTTGATTTTTGTATGTGTTCTGACTGGGGATCAAACCTGCAACTTTGGCATATCAGGATGACACTCTAACTAACTGAGTGACCCTGCCAGGATCCAGCTTTACTTTTTAATATATTTTATAAATTTCAGTATAAGATGGTTGAATTGATTTTGGAAGTAAGTAAAGTATAATTCTACTTTTTCATTCATTCAACAAATATTTTTGAAAACCTGACATGTAAAATCATTAGCTTAGGTAGTAGGCATTCATAGATGTCTTGTCCTGGGCCTGTGAACTGTAGGTATTATAGGTAAGCAAGCAATGCTAGTAGATTGTAGCAATTACATCATCAAAAGGTGCAAAGTGCACTATGGAAGCATCAACAAGGGGCATGTCATTCTGCTTTCCAGGAAAGCATGTCATTCCAAAGAGTAGTCAATGTAGGTTTTTCAGAAGGTGATACTTGACCTGAGACTTGAAGTAGGAGAAATTAGCCTTGCAAAGGGAGAATCATTCCAGGAAGAGAGCGGTGTATATTAAGATGCTGAAGCAATCAAGAGCATGCCTTAATTAGGAAGTGTAAGTAGTTTTAAATGGCTGGAATGAGACAAGTGTGAAAGTACCAAGTCAGAGGTTCCTGGGTCCTTGAGGGTAGGAATGAGGAAGAAGCCTTACTTGGAGAATATGCATTAGCTAGGATGTAGAATCAGAATTGCCACTGAGAGCAAACTAAGTTGCATCAAGGAAGAAAACAACATACTGTATCTCAAATCTGAAAGTCTCAGTCATGACTAAAAGAGAAGTATGAATAGTGAAGACAATGGCCTGGAGAGTCAAAGGAACAACAGAATAACATGGGCGGTGTGGAGATCAATGGATTGGTCGATGGTACCAAAGTGTGACAAGATGTCAGTGGCATAGCACAAAGGAGCTATACCAGCCCTGGTACACTGCTTGGCTGCCGTCCCAATGCGATGGAGTTCAGCTTATGCAGAGTGAATTCCAACATGGATTCTTTCAAGATTTTCCAGGCTGCCTGTATCAAGGTGGAACTTGTGGTGTACAGAAGTAAAAGGAGTGAAATCTGGAATTACTTTGCAAGGAGATGTGCTTTGTGGATGCATGGAGGGCATCACTTTATGTAGGAAACAGCCTCATTAACCTATGTTTAGGTACGTTCAAAGACCTTCTTCATGTGCTCAGTCTCATCTCTGATGAGAGGATGGTGTACCCAGAGAACCCTGAATGATCCTACCAAAACTCTGTTGGATATTATGTAGCTGGGAACACCAGTCAGGCAGATTGTCTCCCTTAAGAACATAAAGGAGTCTTTTCATTAGGACACTGGCTATATATCTCCAATGACATATTCAAAGATATTGTGCCAAATATGAATTACCCAAAGACGCAACTGATACAGGTGACCTGAAGAGTCTGGTGGCATGTTGTGACATGAGCACAGAGAGTTTGGGTTAGGAGGTTCCCGCTGGCCGTCTTGTTAAAAGAGACTTCCTTGGCACCTGGCACTTGCTTTGCACCTTTGTGGGTGCCCCAAGTCAGGTTGCTCCTCAAAACCTTTTAGGTTCTGCAGGGCTGAGGTTGTACTGATATATCTGCTAGTTTCTATAAGGGGCTCAGGAATGGAAAACCAAGTGGAGAATATCCTGATGGTTTTCAACAGTCCCAGCACCTGCACTCATAGAATGGTGCATCTGCTAAGCCCTGTAAGCTGCCCTAAGCTGCAGTGACCTAGATAATCAGCTTTGAATGCTGACTTGGGCCAAGACACGTCAGCTCCCAGACATAGTTGTTGACTTTGGCAGGCCAAGCAGGGCCACAGGACTGGGAGCACTTCCGGCATTAGAGATAACTGTTTCTTCTTTGTGCAGGCAAAGGGAAGCAAGCAGCCTCTAAAAGGTCTGTGCCACACGTGGACCCCAGAGACTGGTAGTGCTTTTTCCAAGATGAGGGTCAGGTTTTTCTAAATAAAGTTGACTCCTTACCTCCAAACCTCTAGTGTAGACTACAGTTTTGTGTTTAAAATACAAGCCTCACAAATAGCAGGCACTTCTGTAGGTCCTTGGATGAGCCTGCCATGAGGCTCTCCTGGGTGGTATAATTCAAGACTTGAAGAAAGGGACCATTCCTGGAAAGCAGAACTACTGAAATCTTGAAGACATAATTCTCCAGTTTGACCAGGAGGGTGGGATATTTGAACTTTTACAGGACCACCCAATTAAGAGCTTATTTGAGACCAGTGTTAACAAAGGATATTACTACTAGAATAAACAAAGTCAAATAACTTCATTTACTCTGTGGACCGCTAGTATCATTTCCTGTGCTCATGAGCATTGTGAGTTGCTAAGCAAAGACATGGCCATGTAACTTTCCCAAACTTATAGGAAACACTTTTTTTTTTTCTGGACCTATTAACAGTAGTCAGTTATCTCTTTCAACACTTACTCGTGAGTCACTGAGTTAGTTTTCCCTATTATTCCCCTGGTATCCCTCACCAAGATGGTTTTGGACAACATAAACTAAGTGGGACCTGGTAATACTCTAACCTTCAGGTTACCTGTAAATGGATCTTTATTTTCTAAACTGCTTATAGTTAGTTTCATTTTTTTTTTTGTGATTTATCTCATTACTAGTGAAAATAAGATAAACATAATTCTTTTATGAGATGAAGCAGTCAAAATTATGTGGAGGAAATTTAAATATTGAAATGTTTTCACTGTTGAAGTATCCATATATCTTATGTAGTAATATTACCAAATTTAAAAAGTAAATATATGGGCATAATGTTGATATGAAATACTTTTAAATATGCAAAAACATAAAATGAACAAGGTTAAGATAAAATTTCTGAAATAGGCCAAGACCATCTAAATATAGCCTTCAACTTACCAAATTTCTCTTTATCTCAGTTTTACCATACACTATTCCTGTTCATAGCATGCCAAAGATGAAACAGGGTAGGTTATATTATGAAAAACATGTATTACAAGTGAGTCATAAAATTGGACAATGGCCACTTGTCTGTAGCCATGAATTTTGGAGGAAATGTATTTTCTACAAGGATGATTTGTCAAAGAAATAGCAAGTATTTATTAAAAACATTAAAGTGGTGAAAAACTGACCCTTAGGCAATATACAGATTCATCATTCAGAAGCACAATGTGTATCAAATACATAATTTATTTTGAAACTAATCTGTTTTAATTATCTTTCAGTGAAGGACAAAATCTAAAAGATGCATTCAAAGAGTGACTTATGCATTCAGACACTTCCATTTTCTTTAAAGTATATTTTATTGATTTTTTACAGAGAGGAAGAGAGAGGGATAGAGTTAGAAACATCGATGAGAGAGAATCATTGATCAGCTGCCTCTTGCACACCCCCTTCTGGGGTGTGCCCGAAGCCAAGGAATATGTCCTTGATCGGAATCAAACCTGGGATCTTTCAGTCCGAAGGCCAATACTCTATCCACTAAGCCAAACCGGTTTCGGCCAGACACTTCTATTTTTACTGCATATGGCTTACCCCTTATTAAATATGGACCTCTCACTTGCATTTATATATTCACAAACTCATAATCTTTTATTCTGCTAGGAGGCATTTTGCTAGAGTGTATCTGCTTTCCTTCCTAATGTCAGCATCTGCTCTCTATTAGTGTAACATCTCCTTGTAGCCTCACAGTGGAATTCAAAGGCATGCTATCATTTTGATTCTTCCACAAAAAGAAAATAGCAACAGGTGCTTTATTTCCTGGAAAATCTTTTCAGAAGCCAGGAACATTGGGAAACTTTCCAGAATGACACATAGAATGAGGGGGCTAAAACTGCCCCTACCTAACCCTATGTCTAAAAGTTGGATGGCCTGAACGGTAGGGAATAAGAAGGGCCTCCCCTCACCAGCCATCTCTTCGCTACTAGGCTAGAGAGTATTTTTGCTTCAGCAATCCATAAATCTCTTAAGAAATAAGATGGCAATTTTGTTCACCATTCAGCAGTGGCAGCAGTAAGCAAAAAGAGAGTTTACTATAATAACAAGTACTTAGAACAGGACCTGGTACCTGGTGCCACGTAAACACATTTGAAAGGGCTGCAATATACCATTGAGTAGAGGTAGTGTAATTTACCTAATCATTCTATCATTAATTGTTCCAGTTTTCCAATGTTGTAAATGCCTGTTCCTTGTAGTTTGTGTGCATTATTTTATCCATTACAGCCTGTAGCTTTTGGGAGTTATTGAAGCCATCAAGTAGCTCAGCTATTACTTCAGAGGCCATGGCGCTGCTGACTGGGAAGGGAATGGTTTTCCTAATGTCCTCATTTTATATCCCACTCCCACTCAAGGCAATAGAAGTGGCCTATGAAAGTACAGCTCCCTTGAATCAAATATGTATTATTATTGTTTTAGGCAGGGGCACCTTCTATTGCCAGAAGGTGGAAACATCCAAGAGACAAACCCATTACTGATGTAAACCTTCCCTTAGTTTCAAAAAGCATGCTGGATGCGGGCACAGAGCATTTCCTAAAGCTTAATGATCATCTAGGATTAAGGCTGGCCTTCAGCAGACTAATGATTAACATTTCCACCAGGTCATTAATCTCTAGGAAATGTTCAGTGTTTTGATTACTGTTTGCTAAATTGAAGAAATGAATAATGTAGTAAAGGATGATTACATAAAAGTTATTCTAACATGCACAGCAGCACCCCCTAGTGAACACTTGGCATATGTTAAAAAAAAAGTTAAGGTTTTTATTTTTTATTATTGGATCTTAAGGAGGGAAAAAGAGGGAGGGACAGTAGAAGGGTTGGAGGGAGGGAGAAAGGGAGGAAGAGAAACAGAGAGAAACATTGATTCTGGTACAAGGAAAGAGGCTGTAACCAACTGTGCCACACCACCGGCCCAGTGCAAGGTTTTTAAAATTGATATGTTTCTTTTGATGAGCAAAAGAAAATATCTTTTTACAAAAGGAAAAAAAAAAAAAAAAGGAAACTAATATATTTTTAGAATGTGAAAGAACCCAGGTAGATCTAAAGTGGATGACTTTATTTGGGAAAAAAATACATAAATTCTCATTTTTCAATAACACTGTAAAATTTAACATTGTAACAACTTGTTTTAACAAGAAAACTCTCTTCTGTTTTTGCAGATCAGAAAGGGTTCTTTGTTTGATATCATTTCCTTTCCAGCAAAGACTGCTTTAACTAGCATAATGTATGCTTCATATGCAGCACTAATTTACTTGGTAAGTTAAGCAAAATTATTAGAATCTAGAAATAAACATTCTTTACTTATATAAGATTAAAGGTATACTGTACATTTTACTCATAAACCAAGGTATTATTCTCTTGTTACACAAAATAATTTTACATTAAAAATTTACTTCAATCCACTAAAAGCTAGTTTGCTTAAATAACTTAAATTATTTGTTTTCATAAAGTTTATTACCAGTTGGTCAAAATATTGTGGTTTTTGCTTTCATTTAGCCATAGCTGTTTTGATTTAGCCATTGTGCCATGGTTGGCTATAATGCAGTATTCCATCGTTTAAGTCTGTGATTTAAAAGTGTATTTTGAGTTAAAAGTGCTGTAATTAAAAAGTGTTCAGAAAAAAAACATGACAATATAAAGGCTTTTGTAAATGGTCAAGGATTATTTCTTTTAATCTATTTCCATTTATACTTACCTTTAATTTTTAAAAGTATAACAAAGAGAAAAGTACACAGCTTGAATTATCATAAAATCTATTAACCTATGTACCACACACATCAAGAAACAAAATATTTCTATCATTCTAGAAGTCTCTTTCTTGTCCCTCTCATAATTTCTAACCTTAAAGGCAACCACTATTTTGACTTTCAATACCATAGTTTTGTTTGCATTGTATATAAATAAAATTATATAAGGCATATTCTTTTGTATATGCCCTTTTTTTGCTCAGCACTATCATTGTAAGATTCATTCATTTGATGCTTATAGCAGTAGTTTGTTTATTTTCATTGCTGTGTGGTATTCCATTGATTGACTCTTATCACTATTTATCCATTGTACTGTTGGACATTTAGAATATTTACAGTTTTGGCTATTGTAAGGTGCTATGAATGTTCTTGTACATGTTTTTGGTGAACTTGCTGGATCACAGAATATGTACATGTTCATCTTGTACAGATGTTGTCAAATAGTTTTTCAAAAATGGTTTTAACAATTCATTCCAGTAGCTCAACATCATCACCAACACTTGTATTGTCTTTTCCATTTTAGTCATTCTTGTATATATGTGATATAATCACACTGTGGTTTTAACTTACATTTCCTTGATTATTAATGAGATTGAATACCTTTCTATACATTAATTGGATATTTAAATATCCCTTTTGTTAATTTTTGTTAAAGTATCTTATTTTTCTATTGGGAATTGCCCATCTTTTTTATTTTTGATTTGTACTTGAAAAATATATTAGGAACAAGCCCTCTTTTGGTTATATATGGTCAAATTTATTTTATTCTAGGACTTACCTTTTCCTGTTTCATCAGTGTGTTTTAAAATAGAAGTTCTTAATTGTAATATAATTTGGCTTATTAACTTTTTCTATTATGTTAAGAGATTTAAATATATTAATTGGGAAATTTTGACCTAAACTAAGGTCATGAACTCTTACTTCTGATGTAATCTAGGAGCTTTATCACTTTTAGGAATTGGTATGAAGAAACAATTTTTTTCTCCATGGATATCCAATTGAACAGACTCACTTTCTTGGTGAAAAGCACCCTTTTGCTATTACCCAAGAACACTTGTGTTCTTAATGAAGTGAACTTACATATGTAGGTATATTTATAGACTCTCTATTCTACACAGTTGATCTAGTTCTCTCTTGTACCAATTCAACACTGTGATTCACAAGAGCTTTACATTGAGTTTTAATAATTGGCAGAATAAGTCCTCCTTTCAGTCTGTGATCATGGCATCTCTATTAGGTCTTTAATTTATTTATTTAGGTCTTCTTTAATTCATCTTAGCATTTTATGGCTTTTTTGTTAGATGTCTTGCACATTTATGTTAATATTTTTATCATATTGAAACACATAGTAATAAAGACAAAAATTCCCCATAATCTAGACTCAGTGCAGTCCCAATTCAAATATGAGCAGGTATGTGTAAGTTGAATAGTTAATTGAAAAATTTGTAGGGAATTACAAGGAGTCAAGAATACCCAAGAAAACTTTGTTGAAAAATACAGAACTTGATTTTAAACACATATACAGGTTTTTTTTTTTTAAAGAACAGAGTTTATCAAATAAATATTTTGAAAATGTTTTAAATTTTTGAGAAGTATTCAATATCTTTAATGTGAATTTCAGATAGAATACAAAAATTCAGCTAGAATACAAATACACTCAAAAAATGGGTTGGATGAAATAGCTATGTTGAACAACAACAACAAAAAAAAAACAAACGAAAAAAAGCAAAAAAGCCTAAAACCAAAATTAAACTGTAATGTCCCAAAGGCTTTTGAAATAATCTCACATGATTTGTCATGTAATAGAAACAATTTTTGGTTATCTGATAATTGGTCATATATGCATCCAAGCAAGACATAGGAGTGGTCAGGTCTGGAATTATGTTTTTGAAGGCATATAACATATATGTTGAAAATTAACACTCTGACTGGAATCATGCCAAGAGAAAAGTTGACAGAAATATGAACAACAACAGTGAGATGAGCTAAGAAGAAATCCATGGAGATAAGGAAGCAATAATCAGAAAAGTAGGAAGAAAATCAGGAGAAACAGTGTCAAGTAAATAGACCCAAGTTGAGATTGATAAGTGTCAAGACAAGCAGAAAAGTGAGGGTTTTGTTTCCATTAGATTTAGTAGTAAAAGTGTTGGAAGTAACCATCTTTCTCTCGTTTTCTAAAACTGGGACAGAAGTGGTTAGAATGGGCATAGATAAAATTTTGTAGGTAAGGGAAAAAGAAATACATTAAATAGGATAGAGCTTCTCAAACTTTTATCATAGCATGGCCTATACAGAAAATGATCATATTTGGGATAAATGCATGAAGCTGTTTGCACCTCAAGTTTTATAGCTCTAAGTTTGGATATATTCAGATGCAAGTAAAAAAAAATACTTGCAGTTGTCTTAATTGATAAAGACATTTAAATATCACTCTTAATTAAAAGTCTGGAGTTAGGCTGGCAATCCCAGATTTGTACAATGGATTTCAATGTCATCATGAACCCAAAGCTTTCTGTTTTTGGAATTGTATTTATATGTTTTGACACTTTTTTAAAGTTCTAAGTGGAATTTTTTGAGGGGAAGTGGATCATGTCTGTTTAGAAATCATTTAGCTTACTAAATTTTTATCGAAATAGTTGTGCCCTTCCAGTTGTACACACAGGTATAAGCAAAATCCAGTGGCTAAAAAGGCAAAAACAGAAAACCTATTGTGAGTTATTAAAATGTTGGAGACATTTCATCTCTCAGAAGAAATTTTCATTTAATTAAATCTGGAGAATAAAGGAAATGTTTCATTTAATTAAATCAAAGGATTAATATATAGAACTTTAATGAATTGAGTAAAAAAGATGTAAAGCATATCTTTATTGAGTTAAACTAGGTTTTAATTTTCTTTCTAGATTATGGTGCTATATATTTAGAGCAAGGAATCAACCCCATGTGCCCAGGGTTCCAGAAAGGAAGTGCTTCTTTATTAGAGTATGTAGATTAATGACTTTATATTCAACACTGGAGGCCCGATGCACAAAATTCATGTAAGGGGATTGGTCCTCGCGGCCCCCGCTGCCTGTGCCCTTGCAGTCCACTGCCTCAAGGCCTTGCCCACTGGTCGTTCAGGAAAGTCGTTACAGAAGGTCGTTTCTAGCATATTAGCTCTTTATTATATAGGATTTTATTGGGCTTTTTATCTGCAAGTTTAGTAGCTTAAAAAGAAACCTTACTTTTCAATATTTTTTCATTATTAGACAGTCTGTGTTAATGCTGTTCTGGAGAAGGTAAAGAAAATTTTCCAAGAAGAAGAATCCATAAGGCAAAACAAAGAGGAGAGCAAACATCTTAGAAAAGCCTTTTCTGAGCCTGCACTTTCTGAACCTATGTTTCCCAAAGATGAAATCAAAGCGAAAACTTATTTTTCATTACTGGATCAGCCAAACAATATTTCTGATTTACCTGATGATATGCTGAGTAATAAGATACAGGTTTTACATTCTGTGTTTGACGAGTCAACTGAAATAAATGAATAAACAAATCTGAACATGAATATCACTTGAACAGCTAAGATTTATCTATGTAATAACATTTCATCTGACAAAACCAGGAAACTAGTTTTCATATACTGACTACTCTGCTTTTAAGAAGAGTGGGGAGGAACTAGTAAAATGTCATTCTCAAGTGTTTATATGGTAGAAAAAACAAAATGAATCTTGGTGTAGAATATATTTATGACTATCTGATTATTTTTTAATCTTTCTAATTATTTTTCTGGGGAGGAAAAAAACCTCTATCAAAATGCTGCACATTTTTTTTTAGAGACATTTTTCAAAGAATATTTGTTTTTCAAAGAATATCTACAGGCTGGATAGTTTGAGTCTGCCTATTTCACTTCTTTTGTAACTCATCTGGTAAAGTATGAATATTTTGCAATTCATAGATGTCAGGAATTTATTTATTTATTTTTAAATATATTTTATTGATTTTGTACAGAGAGGAAGGGAGAGAGACACAGAGCTGGAAACATCGATGAGAGAGAGTCATCAATCAGTTGCCTCTTGCACACCCCCCACTGGGGATATGCCCGCAACCAAGGTACATGCCCCTGACTGGAATCGAACCCGGGACCCTTCAGTCCCCAAGCCGACGCTCTATCTATTGAGCCAAACCGGTTTCGGCAGGAATTTATTATAAAACAGAATGTTATTTACAAATCTGATGAGAAGATTTCTGTATATGAGGACAGGACTTGATATGACATTTTTTATTTTCAGATTAGAGTAACACATCTAAAACCAGAAATCAAGTCTATATTACTCATTGTGGCCACTGGATCCTGAGAGAGAATGCTCTGTAAGTGAGCCTGCAAACTAGAGCCGTGGCTTTGCCTGTAGGAGGTACTTTGGTTTGTTCTATGCACTAAAATTTAAAATGTGCCTGGTCATTGGAGGACTGGCATCTGATATAATAAGCTTGGATATGTCTATTCTCGAGGTGGTACAATTCCTACACCTGGTGAGTAGCTACTGCCATAAACAATATTTATATAAAGCTAAAGCCTGGCTTTTTAGTAGTAGTCTGAGAAATGAGTAGCAAGTGTTGTATTACCTCATGCTACCCATATTCCACCAGAAAAGGAAATCCTATCTAACAAAAGAGTAATATGCAAATTGACCAACACACCAAGACCCAAGATGGCTGCCCCCATGTGGTCAAAGATAGCTGCCTCCATATAGACACAAGATGGCCTGCAAGGGAAGGCAGTTGTGGGAAGTTGGGGGTGACCAGGCCAACAGAGGAGGACAGTTGGGGGAAAGCAGGCCAGCAAGAGAGGGCATTTGGTGGGGGGGGACCAGGCATGTAGGAGAGGGCAGGCCTGTAGGGGAGAGCAGTTGTGGGGGGCAGTCCTGTGGGGGAAGGCAGTTTAGGGGTGGTAGAACCCAGGCCTGCAGAGGAGGACAGTTGGGGGGACCCAGGCCTGCAAGGGAGATCAATTGGGGGGCGGGGGACCAGGCCAGCAGGGGAGGGCAGTTGGGGGGAATCACGCCTGCAGAGGAGGACAGTTGGGAGTCAGCAGTTCTGGATTGTGAGAGGGATCCAACCATCCGTTTAGGCCTGATCTCAGTGGGATGGGGCCTAAACAAGCGGTTGAACATCCCTCAAGGGGTCCCACATTGGAGAGGGTGCAGGCTGGGGAACACCCCCCCACCACACCCCCGTGCACCAATTTCATGTACTGGGCCTCTAGTGTAATATATTCTATGTGCTGTCAAGTTTTAGATGACCAGCACCTCAGGAATCAGGCAACCAGAACAGCATTGGGCAAAAATAACTGGCAGGGTAAACCATTCAACATCAACTTAGCAGAAAGGATTCTGAGAAACAACACCCTACATTTCTTCCCTCTGTAACATTTACATGAAACACTTAGTTGTACATACATGCACAAAGTTCTCTAAAAATAAAAACAATTATTAGAAAATTGCATACAGGCATTCAAAGTACTTTAGCTCACTGAATAGGAGACTTCACATTTCCCATGGCCGGGCAGCAGTTGTGTCTTCCTGTGTTGAGATTATCTGTCTTGAGAGAAACTGAGCCAAGATTTATGTGCCTTTGATGTCTAGCACATTGATAAGTTTCTTATTTTTAAATTCAGCATTTCTGGAGGCATTTTTTAAGTGTAAAAAAGTGTTCTATTTACATATTTGAAAAGACAGAAGTTAATATTTAAGCATTTCAATGTATTTAAATTTTACCTTAAAAAGTAGTAACAACAACCAAATAGGAGAGGTAGGAAATATGTGGAGGTATCAGTGAAACAAGAATGGAAGACTGCTGAAATTGCTGAAGTTGGGTGATGAGAGTTTATTATACAATTCTGTATACTTTGTATAAATTCAACTTTTCCATGATAAATAAAATCTGCTACATCAAACAAGGACCCCTCTCCCAATTTTCCTTAATAGATCTTATTGTATACATTTTCTTCATTTTAGTTCAAATTACCTTCATCTTTAAGTGCACATTCCAGACCTATGCATTTTATAGTCTTCATACTCAGTACTTGTGCTATTGAACCTATCAAGAACTGTATGACTTTTAAAGATAAGTAATGTGCCTATGTTGGAAAAAAATCTTCTTTGGTATTGAAGCAAGGTTATTTTTAAAACATTTCACTTTTCATTGCCATATGATTTTATCAGGAAGGAGTCTTAATTACTTTGAAGTTTCCAGTGGCATAAAAATCAGAGTCATACTTAACAGGTTCATTAGAAAGAGTCACATAAATTTTCCCATTGTCCACTGTCACTGTATGAATCCTTTGCTTTATTCCTTTGGAACACCACTTGGGTTTTGCTGATGGGTCTTTAGGATTTATAGACTGATATAGTCCTTCTCCTGTTGCCAAAGTAATTTTGAATTTATGCCAGGGACAAACTACACATGGTCGTCCATCAAAATCCTAGGGAAGGAAATAATTGATTTAACAGTTTGCTATTTCCAATGTTCACAATAAACCTCAGACTCAGAACGGAATCTATTGCAGAAGAACCAGGTTAAAGAACAAGACGACTTTTCTTTTTTCCTTCCCATTTAGAAATTAGTATCGGACAGGATCTAATCTTAGCAGTCATCACTTCATCCCTTTTGCTGTTGATGAGAATCCCAGTGTGTTAGAGCTCTGCCAGAGATTACTAGCTCAGCGACTATACCTATCGCTGCTGAGAACTATATCAGATGTCAGTGTTACTTCCTTGACAGAAATGAGGCAATGGCTTCAGATGCTTCTTAAGGAATTTTTCACTAACTTCTGTAAGCTTCAGATATAATTCAAGAGAGGTTACTAAAAGCTTGAGTGCATATATTAATTGAAGAGCGATTTATGATCCAAAGTAGTCAATTCTCAATTTCTTAATTGTATTAAAACAGTGCTTCTCAAATTTAAAAGAGCACAGGAGTTACCAACATTCTGTTTAAAGTCAGTAGGCCTAAGGTGGGCGCAAGATACTGCATTTCCAAGAAGCTTCCAAGTGACACATGGAACATAATTTGGTCTATGGAACATACTTTAAGTAGCAAGGTCTTACAGTTCTATAGGTCTGTCATGGTCTGAAATTGGGAGAAATTCTTCCACATTTATCAGCACCAGGTGCTTACATTTTTTTTAAACACTCCAAGTGCTGGAATACTGACATTATATCCTCATAAAACTGTTAGAAAAGATTCATATTTTCACAAATTATAAATTAACAATTTTAATACACATGTCCTTTTACATGAGAACATGAGGGCAGGTGGGGAACTAGGTATATATGAAGTGTAGAGAGAGTAGAACACTATGTTTAAGATTGTATTTTGTACAAGTTAGAGAGAGAGAGAAAGAAAAAGAGAAAGAGAGAGAGTGTGCGGGCTATCAGTTTCGTGAAATAGAAAAACATAGTATTCCACAGCATGGCTCTTCATAATTTATTTAAACTATTTCCTATTGTTAAAACATTTAGGATGTTGTCATTTTTAATTACAATAACTAATGCTAAAATGACCATCTCCTATATACATTTAAACATTTGTGCAATTATATCTGTAGGGTAGATATCTCAGAGTGCAATTGCTAGGTCAGAAGACATACACAGTTCTCACATTTATCTGTGAAATGGTTTTCTTTACATTGTAGGGCTGAAAATTCCTAAAATATTAGCGATTATACTAGAAGCATTAAAATATAGTGCAAAGACAAATGTAAATTATTTTTTACTACAGAATGAAATAAGAATATAAATAGAAAACATTTGAGTTTTTTTGAGAATAGATTTAATCTTACATACCTCTATTTCTCCCAAATGTAAAGGTCCTCCTGAGTCTGCAAAGAAATTGAGTATTAAATCTAGTCACTGGAAATTTTGATAGTTTTGTTGTTAGCAAACGAATACAAGATTTACAAATAAAAAATAAAATCTTACGGTAACAGCGAATATCCATAGCATGATATTCTCCTTTGTGATAGAAAATGACCACTTCTCTATCATGGACAACAGCTGTCATTCTTTCAGATTTCTTAATGTCCTCTTCTCTGCCAACATAGACAGAAGGATATTCTTCCTTCATTTCAGGATCTTGTTCAGGGCTACCAAGATCCATGCTAGCTGAACCAAAAAGAAAAAGAAAAAAAAAAAATTGGTAAGTGGCCTTCACTAGTCAGACTATATCTTAACTCAGAGATAATCATATTGTAAGAGACGTCTGATTTCTCTGAAACTGATAGAAGCATTTTTGTAACTATATAATACATTTTAAAATACTAAATTACAGTAATGATTTTGAGTTACAGACTTTTAAAGCTTGCCAAAATTAGGGAGGACTCCTCACTTTTAAAGCTGGACTTGTATCAGATTCATTTCAGTGTGTAAGATGGTTATTTCAGAACTCTTAAAACACAAGACTAAAGTTTCACTATCCTTTTATTCCCGATCAAACTCAATGCTAAACAACATTTGGTTGCTATCCTGCTGAATTTAGGACTTCACGATAGTCTGGGTAGTCTTCGACCTCTGGGTTGAGGTGTGTTATCCCCCTACACCCCTTCTTTATGTATTGGTGTTGGGTGTATAGCTCAGTGGTTAGAAAATCATAATTTACATAGTGTTTCCCTCAATATTTCCAGTACCTCAACTGGCACCATACATAGGTACACAATATTATTCACTATATTTCCAAACACCAGTTCTCGCTTCGGGTCTATGAGTCTGTTTCAAGTTTGTTTGTTCATTTATTTTGTTCTTTAGATTCCACACATTAAGTGAAATCATATAGTAAAAGTCTGATGGACTTATTTCACTAAGCATAATACCCTCTAGATCCATCCATGCTGTCTCAAATGGTAAGATTTCATTCTTTTTTATGGCTGAGTAATATTCCATTGTAGATATGAACCACAGCTTTTTTTACCCACTGCCCTATTGATGGGCACTTGGGATACTTTCATAGGTTGGCTATTATAAATAACGCTGCAATGAACATAGGGGTGCATATATTCTTTCAAATTTGTGTTTTGTGTTTCTCTGGATAAATCCCCAAAAGTGAAATTACTGGGTCGGCTCACTTGGTTTTGCCTGGCATGGACAGCCAGTTCTTACAGAGCAACCAGACTATTCTAGCAGATGGGTGTGAATGAACACTTTTTTCTTTCTTAAATTAAGAAATTGTCATTAGTTTCTCCTGCCTCATTTGGGCATTCAAAGAGATGACTTCTCTTCAGTTAATTTACAGCAGTATATAAACTCATATTGCCAAATAAAGATTTAGAAGCATTTGCAAGTATTATAAATACATTTTTTTCTCATCCCGGATATTTAGCCTATTTCTTTGAAAGCAACCCTTTCAAGGACACCTTCTGTATATTTTAAGAACATAGTCTTCAGGCCTTCTAGTGGTTTCTCTAAATACTTATTTAATCCTATATGGCTGACTAGAAGTTTGAAAATGTTAGTAGGAACAGAGCATTGGCGCATTTAGCTATTTAAAATTTTTGAGGTATAACTGACATACAATATGTTAGGTTAAGGTGTACAACATAATTTGATATATATATTGTGAAATGATCACTGCAATAAGTCTAGTTAATACCAGCAGTATACATAGTTATGGAATTTTTTCTCTCTTGTAATGACAATTTTTAAGATTTACTCTCTCATCAACTTGCAAATGAAAGGATAGCTCATTTAAATAATAAATTCAGTCCTGGCTGGGTGACTCAGTTGGTTGAAATGTCATCCCAGATACCAAAAGGTTGTGGGTTTGATTCCCTGTCAGGACACATACTTAGGTTTTGGATTTTGATCCCTGGGGAGTTCATGGGAGGCAAGTGTATATTGATGTCTCTCCCTCTCTAAAAAAATAAAAATAAATCAATAAAAACATATCCTCTGGTGAGGGTCAATTAAAAAATGATTAAAAGGTAAAATATCTATGTGAATGTGTAGAAATGAGCTTTAGATAGAAGGGATTTATACACCACTATTTTGAAGTTAGTTCTGAGCCATAAGGAAGATAGATATTAGAGCCTGACCTCCAAAATTCAAGTATAGGATGAGGTGTGTGTGTGTGTGTGTGTGTGCGCGCGCTTTAAGTTCAAAGTATAAAGGAAAGCATTATTACACAAATCAAGTTTAGAGAATTACAAACATGTCAAATTTGTGCTTTAAGTTCAAAGTATAAAGGAAAGCATTATTACACAAATCAAGTTTAGAGAATTACAAACATGTCAAATTTGTGCTCTGACATTAGCATTGTTAAACTTTGCTCTAATTAACCTAGTTCCTTTTTTAAAGGATGGGGAAAGCACCTATGTTATTTTTGAAAAATTATTTCGTCATAATAAAAGCAAATAAATACAGGGTTTTTATTGTTTTGTTTTTTAAAGACCATGATTTTATGAATACTACATCTCTAAACAGTTTGGAAGCTACCCAAAGTACACAAGTTGCTCATGTGGTAGTAATTACCTCCACAGTGTTGGGCGGACGTGCAGCCCTTTATCACATTTTGTGACAGAACAGACAGAAGGGCAATAATGATAAGAAAAATGGAAACAGAAAGATAACTGAAAGGGGGAAATAGGCTGAAGAAAAAGCAAGAAACATGGAATTTGCAACACATTTCACCAACAAAGGATTAAGATTCAGAATATATGAACTATATTTCAGAAAGAAAATACCAAATAATTATAGAAAAATGGGCAAAATATAGAACAAACATTTCACAGATGAGAAAATCTGAATGGCTACTAATCACACAAAAAGATGTTTCACTTTATTAGTAGAAAAATTTAAAAGAAGTGAAAAGCAAAGTAACACATGGGATACTATTTTCTACCCGACAAACTGGCAAAAAAATCATACCAAGTATTGGCAAGGATACAGAGCAACTAACTGATAATGATGACATCAATTAGTGCTCCCCACAGCTTGGCATTACCTAGTAAAACTGAACATATTCATGACCCAATAATCCCACTTTCTGTGTATTATAGAGAAACATTCAGAGGTATACCAGGGGACATGCACAAGAAAGGTTACAATAGCAAAATTGGGCAGGAAACAACTCAAAATCAATCAACAGTGAAATGGATAATTTTTTAAATTATTATTCAGTCAATAGAATGTAGCAGTAGTATGGCTATGTCCAGTTGGATTTAAAAAATATAACTTTAAGTGGAAAAAATATTTTTATCAAAAACAGGCAAAACCAAAAACATTATTCATGGACACTGTATAAAGAGTAAATTTATAAAGAAAAGCAAGGAGATGGTAAATACAAATGTTCTTAAACATCTCAAAGTATTATATTTAGTCTTATATTTAAAATTATTCTTTTTCAAAATTTACATTGTATCCTACTTTATAATTATGATCCAACTAATCCAAAATCTAAGAAAAATGGGATAAAATGGCACTTTTTATCCTTAGAGAATGTGCCTATCCATAGATCATTAATGGACTATTTGAGAATTTCGTACAGCTTATTTCAAAATGTGGCATTAGGGGAGGAAATGAATAAATAGTTCTATTTCTTTTTCCAGGCAAAAGTTAGAAAGGAAATACTAGTATCAAGCAATAAAATACATGATATGTGGAGTAGAATCAAAGGTTAAATAAGTTCTCTCCCATTCCCAATTAAATGACAGCCAAATACAATCCTCCCTCAAGTTTCAGTCTTTTAGAACATGCAGTCTTTGCAGGATTTTGCCCTCAATTAAAAAAAAAAAAAAAAAAAAAAAAAAAAAGTAACTGTAGTGAACTTTCCAGGGGCTAAGAAATGAACAGAGAAAGCTGGGGCTAATGATAAAGGTTTCTGAGAATTATGATCATAGTCTTTCATTTTGCTTAGGAAACTATTATCTCATCCTTCAAATAATTCTTCCATATATGCATCATAAATGGCTCTATTTATTTATGATATCTGGTGACTATAATTAACACCCATATTATTCTTAACCATATTGTGAATATAGTTGGTCCCTTCAGAGAACAACTTAAAAGTCAATGTATTCACCTTAACTACTGTTACTTCGATGCACTATTCAGATGCTTCCACACATTTCCTCTACTTTGAATCAACTTTAAGATAGTAGAATCTTAACTGGATAAAAAGAAAGTGAAACGTTAAACAGGTTACCCAGTTTGCAGGATAGATGAGGAAGACGTCTTTCTAAAAAAAAAAAAAAAAAAAAAAAAAAAAAAAAAAAAAAAAATTAGCCATTTTGTTCCACAGTTCACTCTTTGGGAAATATTTCTTTTTTTGACTCGTGCCTAAAGTTGGGTTTCTAAAGGTGTTGACACCACATAAAATCACAAATTAGCTAAATGGGTCCCTGTATCTATTAGCTACCTTTCCAGCATAAGGAATCCATTCAGATTACATTAAAAAAAGACAGTAATCCAGTTTCTATAAGACACTGGAGACCAAAAGAGACACGAGATTAAAGGAATTTGTTATTCCTCTTGAGCACTGAGCACAATGCTTTTACTAAGTCTGTAGACATGGTCTATAATACATAGTGTCAGAATACATAGCTCCAGGTGTCACCTCTGCTTTTAGGTTCAGAGAAGAGAAATACCTTTGTGCCATCTCTGTGGATGGCAGAATAACAGATGAAACTAGTGATCTTTCAGGGCGTGCCAATGGTTGGGCTCTGGGCGTAAGTGACTTCATTAATCTGCACAAAACCCAGCGGTACACTCTCTCTGTTCCAGACCAGAGAACCAAGGGCAAAGGGCTCTTTTTAAACAAAAGCTTCCTCAAGCTCACAAAGGAGCAGTCAGGATTCAAACCCAGGTCCTATGAGTCTACATTTGTGAAAGTGGAAATATAAACCTTACCCACATCCTTGTGAATCTGCAAATATAAACATTACCTTTTCATACCAGGCAGCCAGGTAAGGTTTATAAAAACACGTGGCCTGCAAGTAAACAATCTGAAAGGTACCAAACCGTTTAACACAGTAAAAATCTCTCTCTCACCATATATATATATCACGACAGATGGCGGCCCTCCTTATTTATTTTTTTAAGAACGCTAATGTGTAAGAGTTGTTGCCAACAAATGTTTAAAAAAGCTTTCCCCCAATAATTTAATTTAGT